CTGTGCTTCGTTGAGGTAACATCCCTTGCAACAACATTATCTTGAGTTTGAGGTTGTTGAGTGTTAGGTGTCTCGACTTGCTTCCCTTCGACTCGGACTGGGGCAGTACCAGCGTCACCTTGGTGCCCTTCGCCAGTGTCACCTTGGTGCCCTTCGCCAGTGTCACCTTGGTCCTTTTCGCCAGCGGCACCTTGGTTTTCTTTGCCAGCATTGCCATGGTCCCCTTCGTTACGATTCTCTTCCGACAGATCCACCACCTGAACCTCTTCTGGCTGTTGTTCTTCCGTTTGAGGTTCTTCTGCTGGTTTTTCTACCGTCTCAGCATTGGCCTCATTTATTTCAGTATGGGCTTCATCATTTTCCAAGCCTTTTTCTTGTGGCCTGCTGAGTTCAGCAGATTCCAGCGTTTCAGAGGTCCTTGGTGGTGAGCTTTCAGTGGTGTCCTGAGAAAGGAAATAAGAAGAATCTTCAGAAATCGAAAGAGACATAATCGAATGTAGGTATCTACACCTAAGATCCAGAAAGGTCTAAGAGATTACCTGTAAATTAGCTTCAGCCCCAGGGCTGAAATTGTCGCTTTCGACAGGCTTATTGAGAAGAACGTTTAGTTCCTCCTCCGTTGGCTCCTCAATGATCACTGGAGGTGGCCTAGGCTTTCTCCCAGCAACCTTTATTCTAATGGTTCGACCCTCAGGAGCAGGAGCAGGAACAGGAGCGTCCTTCGTCAGCTTTCGCCTTTTTAGAGGAGCAGGAGGAGAATCACCTTCTTCATCGCTCCCAGATTCGACCACCAGTGCTGGCCGTTTCTTGGGCGAAGGTGCCTAAAAAACCAATGGGAATTCGATTTAGCAATTGCATCTAAAGTCAAAAGTCGAAAGCCAGAAGAAAATAATGAAAGTCTGGTTACCGATACAGAAGGCTTCTTCGAAGGGCCTTCCCCCTATTGGTTGGTTGTGGTCTTCGCCGGCGCTGTAGTCTTCGCCGGTGGTGGAGGCTTTGTTGAAGGGCCTCCTCCCTGTTGGCTTTCTGTAGCCTTCTTGGCTACAGGCTTTCGAACAACTGAAATTAAATAAGTAGTTAACAGGCTAGCAGTCGAAAGAGAAAGACAAAGTAATGTGAGAGGATGAACTTACATTTCTTTATTTTGTCCAACACAAGGACAAAAGATTTCTGAAGCTCATCCACGAAGTCCTTCTCGTCAAAAAACTCCTCAGCGTAATAACTTTTCCACCATTCCTCGAAGGATGGTGAGCAAAGAAAGTTGAGCTGGTAGTCAAACAACGAGAGAACTGTTCGACCAGCATATCTTCCGATATGCTTAATGGCAGCTTCTTCGGTGTAATCATTGCAGAAGTACAACATAGACTTCTCTCTTGGAAAAATTGGAGAAGGTAGGGTTTGAATAATACCAAACTGGCGAGATACCAGGTTTGGTTGGTATGCAATCAGACTCAAGTGAGTCTTAGAGCTCCTGAATCGAAGAGGCATGATCCTTGGTGTAAGGAACGCCTCCCACATTATTGTATGTTCGTCAACGTTAGGACCACTCGACGTCCTTGGATGTGGCCTTGTGAACCATGCTGGGCCTACCTTCCGTCGAGCAAATGGAGCCATAGTCGAAGCAAACTCCTTCCTTCGAGCAAACATCAGAACGAAGTTGGTGAAAGTTTGTTGAAACTCCAGCCCATCTTCCATAGGCGTCAACAGAGCCAGTCTGGTTCCTTCGACGCGTCTGTTCGCTATCTCTGGAGCCTGCTCATTTATTTGAACCTTCTTAGGCAAGAAAGATTCGAAGGTGGCATTGAGCCACAGTTGGAGCAGCCAAAAAGGCCCAGCAAGTAGCAAACTGGCCCTGTTGTCGATAATTTTTAGAAGAGTTGCCCCATTACTAATCGAATCATAGAGGCTAGCCAAAATCAATTCTGCCAAACAGACATTTTGGCCATGATGGAGTTGAGTGGCGAGAGTGACCATCTTCTTGGTCACCTGTAAGGACTTCGAGCAAAATACAAAGCGAGTCAGCCATAAGGCTAGAAACGCTATGTGTTCGACATCCGACACAGCATCTGTCGACCTGTCGTGGTAGTGATTGATGAAGGTGGTATAGGTTGGTTTGGTGGCAGAGAATCCAATTTGATCCTCCGACATCTCCTCCGGATCGAAGTAGTCCCCAGTGGGTCGAAGGCCAGTGATAGCGGCCACATCGAAGAGTGTAGGAGTTAACATCCCACAGGGAAGATGGAAAGTAAAGTGGGAGTAGTCCCAGAAAAGCAGAGAAGCTATCAACATCTCCGGAGAATAGTTCAAACCTGTCTTCGACAGCATCACCAGGTCGAAAATCCCCATCTTTTTCCAGATCGAAGCTTGGCATTTCTCCATTTTTTCCAGCCAAGCAACGTAATCAGGAGTGAGGCTAGGGCCAGACCTGAAAACCCTAACGCCTTTGTTGAAGAAACGAAGGTCGATTTTCTCTTTAGCAGGCTCTTCATTATCTTCAGCATCTTTCTTGGCGCATGCAACCGGTTTGAGTTTCTCAACTACCGGAAAATAACTCTTGATCTTCATGGCCTCAGCAATACTTGGATACAAGGGGCCAGACATAGCAAAGATCTGGTTGGAATATCCAACCGGGATCATAAGGTGGTGTGAGTAAGCATCACGTACGGCGATGTCCAAGGGTTCAGGGACCCTTCGTTGGCCCGTAGCAGTTACTACTGGAGCGGTGACGAAAACCTTAGGTTTGGCATTTCCAGATGGTACAGTAGCGCTAGGAGCATTGGAACCAGATGCCATTGTTAATGGTGAGGTTAAAGACGAAGTGAAGGAAGAAAGGTTTTTGCAAAGATGACAAGTTTGTGTGAAAATAGAGAAGTTTGAAGGCTAGATGGCGTAAAAAGTCCCACAATGGGGTACTTACTGCTATTTATAGTAGTGGGGGAAAATCCCCAAAATCGAGGACATTAAATGCCATTTAATGTTGCAGGAGATAGTGGGACGCGTGGCATCCCCCTGTTGTTTTAGCCGTTCTGCAGAAATAGAGAGACGCAGCGTGCGTCCTCGTTTTTGGGAATTGTCATAATGACAAATTCTGAAATGACGTTTGGTACTGCACGCCGTACTGAAGTGACGTCTTAGGTACGGATAAATGATGATTTTCTTGGGATTGCCAGTGGTTGGTAGAAGACAACAAAAAGTGCACAAGTTAATTTGTGACTAAGCGTGAAAAGACAGGTGTCGAATGGCGTTTCAAAGAATGCCTTTTTCTTTCAGAGTCGAAATAAGGCATTCTTGGGGGGCAATTTGTTGGCTCCTAAATTCAACACCCTTGTTTTATTAATGTCAGCCATTAAAGCTGAAGGATGTTTTCGACTAGCTAGGTCCGTCGAAGTGCCCATCGAAAGATGGCAAGATACTTAAAAGATTTCTTCCAAGGGAGAAGTTGGTTGCCTTCGACGTCGAAGGAGTTTCTCGTCGAAGATGTTTCTCGACGAAGTTGTTCGATGGTTCAGAGTGGAGCAGTTTGAAATTCAAGCGTTTGGAGGGAAAACGGTTTCCAGCGGTTACCAAGTGCAACGTGCAAAGATCTGGAGCGTCGAACGTTGAGAATGTGCCAAGTGGAATGATCTCGAAGCAGTGTAACTGCCCGACGGTTACTTGGGATGTTTTAGTATAAATAGTAGTAGTCATGTAGTTTCTCGGGTGTGTTCACAATTCTATACAAAGTCACTCATATAGATTCGAGTACCCAGCGTGTGAGAAAGAATTGTTGAGAAATGTATGTGTGAAACACCAACTTTATTAATCAAAGTCATTTACTTTTCCAGAAATTTACTTGCTTTCTTCTTTATTTTCCTGTCGAACCCTTTCATTTAAAGCCTTATTTATTTTACCAAAGTCCTTTCTTCATGCAATTTACTTGATGCCTCTTTATTTTATTGTCACTTAACCAATATCCAATTTAATCAAACTTCAAAATCAACCTATGTCCTAGGATCAATCTGATCGATCCTGCGAGTAACCAAATAAGTAACCATTTGGAGGATCAGCGGTTGTTTACCAAATACCAAGGTAAACATACGTGGAGTTCTATTATTTGCTTTGCTTTCACGTGTCTTATAAATTTTTTAAACTGTTGACTACTTCTGTAAAAAACATCTTTGGTTCTTCTAACTGACTCTGTTGAATATATCAAATCATTACAAATATTTTTCGAGATTCTGAATATATTTTGAAGAGAGAGAGATCCTAATCTTTTGAATTTGTTTATGAGATTTCTCCAAACCAGACTCAGTGGATTTTCAAGTCATCTAAATCTTAAACTTAAAAATATACTATATCTCAAAATATCTGATAGACGAGTCAAATTCACCATCTTAATTAAAATTCGTTGATGAAATGACAAAAATAGAAGTATCTATAAAAAACGAGACTATTTACTTGAGTGTTCTATTATTTATAATTTGTATCTAACGCCGTTAGAATCATTAGGAGGAACGTTATATGTTTATTATTTTGGGCTCTATCCGTCTTTTTGATAAAAAGAATTTAAATATATCAAAAAAAAAGTTTCTAGTAGAAATTTGGACGCAAGTCACGTGAAGAAGTTGGATTGTTCTTTCCACAGCACATCATTGCCGTATTCCTAGTTGCTACACACCTAATCGCCGTGACGCCACCAATTGACAAAATTGTCCCTGTATATTATTTTAACGAGACAGATAATAAACAATATCTCGTCTACCTTTAAACATGCCGCACCTAACGTTACACGTCATTAGATCTATACCGTCAACCCAATTAATCTTAGCCGTCCATATCCCAAAAAATCATTATAAAGGATAGGCTTGAGTCCTCCTTATATCATATCGCTCAGCAGTTTCAATGGATTCACCGTTCTGTGCACCTTTTGCGCCTCTTCTTAAATTTCAGATCTCGTGCCAAACTTCTCCTACTGCCTTCAATCCTTACCAAATTTTCGCAGATCCGATGGGGGATCACCGATGATTCAATTGTTACCAGTTCTTCACAGATCTGATGGAGATCTACACACCACACCAATGGTATACCAGTTCTTCACAGATCTACACACCGATGGTTCAATTGATGCCAGTTCAATCATACCAGTTCGTCACAGATCTGATGGAGATCTAAACACTGATGGTCAATGATACCAGTTCTTCACAGATCTGATGGAGATCTACACACCACACACCGATGGTTCAATTGATGACAATTCTTCACAGATCTGATGGAGATCTACACACCACACACCGATGGTTCAATTGATACCAATTCTTCACGGATCTGATGGAGATACACACCACACTGATGTTTCAATTGATACCTGCTTTTCACAGATACACACTGATGGTTCAATTGATATCAATTGATATCAGTTCTTCACAGTTCTTCACAGATCCGATATCATTTGTTAAGACCTACTTTCCATTTCCTCTTTAGGTTATTTCTATGGTTAATTGTTATTTTGTTGGTTTTGGTTTTCTGAAAGATTCAGAGAAGTCCTTTGCTCCTTCGTAATTCAGGTATTTTTTGCAGGTGTCGTGGTTGATTGATGTACATGTAGCTGGTCCTTTGATGAATTATATCGCCTCCATCTAATAAGTTCTTTCATGATTTCTACCTCAAGATCAACGGCTTCCAGATTCATTCATGTTGCAGATCTCAATTTTGTGTGTGTATATATCTGTATATATGTGTGTATTTATGACCGTGAGGGGGTGGGGAGTTTAATGGATGTAGGTTGTTTCAGGATTACATATCTCGAATCTATGAGTGTTTTGAGAATTGAATCCTGATTGATCTTGTCATCCGACCTTTGCCATGTCAGGTGCGCTTGCTTGGCAGGTCAAAAAATAATAAAGAAAAAGATTTGTTGGTTTTTGGGAGAGATCGCACGGGGATTTTGCCCGGGTTCTCTCTCGTGTGGTGTTTTCCTTGCTCCTTTTCCTTATAACTCTTACTCTAGTCTATTGTATCTCGCTCTAGACACAACGACAACTCACGGTACACACATTCAGGAATTTCGTCAGCAAGGTATTATCTATCGAATTTCAGTCTAATTTTAATTCAAGTTTATTTTAAATGGTTAAATTTAATCAACAATGAAATTAAATTGGTTTGCCAAATAAAACCTGCGATGGAATTAAGTCATGTGAACTAAAATCAACCGTTCATCTTCAGCTATCTACACTCCCTTGATCAACCTTGCGTAGTTAATTTGTTCATAATTTGTTTGATTATTATCGAAATTTGAAAGATTATTATATCTTCATTTATTTCCCAGTATAACTGTTGTATATTTGCATCTCAAATGTAAAAAGTTTAGTTACTTCGGTAAACAATTGTAAAGTGCAGTGATAGGTCCAATTTTAAGAAATAGAGGATCTGGTATCAGGAGTCTTTGAATGGAACGCTCCTGGACGCAGTTCATCGTCTACTACCAACAAAGCGGCTTTTGCTATCTTGAGGCGTCGAAGCCACATCTATCAGTCAATTCTTTGAAGCATGCCGCCGTAGCTCGTCAATTATTAAGGTGAAGATGACATCGGCTCTTTCATCTTATGCCAAGTATTGAATATTGAAATTAATTATCCAGTTGCCGTAATGATTCACTGATGCATTTTCAATCACGTATTCCAATAAATGCATAATATAATTAATTTGGACTTATAATATTTCCAACGTTATGGTTAGAATATTCATTAACTACAAATGATTCAGTTTGTTATAAGGTCGACTTTGATTCTGTATTACTCTAATTTCATACTAGTAGTTTGTAGCAGAGGCATGTTATTTTTATATTCTTGTTTATCATTCTTATTTACCATTGTTTCTGTATTATCCGTTCTGATAACTTTCATTCCTACCAGACTCGGTTGAAACATACTTATTACATTCAAACTGGAAATACCGTGTATGAAAACGCACTTAAATATATATTATTAATATATTGTTAGAAGAAACATCCAAGAAACTTAAAATTTATTTAAAATTATTTAAAATTTAATTTTTGTTTTAATTGTATTCATGGGGTCCTTGTGATAATGAAGTAGAATTAATATTAGTTACTTATTTTTTAATTAATAAAAAGGTTTGTGTGTCAAATCGCTTTCTATGGTTGTGTCAAACCAACCACTTGTTGTTGTTTTTTTTTCTTCTCTTTTTCTCTTTGCTTATTATATTCTTCATAAATATTTTATTTATCCATTGTAAACTCTAGAATTATAGATTAATATTCTATTATTTCTCGGCCTATTGTTCATTATTATTTGACGGCCTATTGTTCATTATTATTTGACATATTATAATATTTGTTTTATATTTAATATTTTTAAAATTCGTTAATTTTTACTACGTTTTTTCTAATTATTATTTATGATTTAATGTTCTAAAACTCGTTTAATTTTTATTTAGATTTTAGTATTAATTTTGTTAGGATTTAGTTTTTTATTCTTTTTTGAATTTAATTTTTATAACTTTTTTCAAAGTTAGGTGGAGTAATCTGACGTTTTGATATCTTCAAATTTAGTTGTTAATTAAAAATAAAAGAGTGTTTGATCTACTTCTAGAACTCTACCTCTAGAAATTAATTCGACCCGTTATTGCTTATCTTATATGATGTGTTTCATGAATATGGGAATCTTTTTTACTTTGCATACTTTTAAAAATAATTCTTGGGAATCTATTTATTTCAATATATTTTGTTTTTAATATCTTTTTCACATTTCATTATCGCTTTAACAAAAAATTTAGTATCTTTTTCACATTTCATTGTCGCATTAACAAAAAAGATCTGTAGCTCAAATCGGAAGAGTGCTCGGAGCATTTTCTTAAAAAACTCTGAGAAGTGGTGGTTCGAGTCCACCCAGATCTGCATTGGCTTGTTTTGATATATGATTTTGTTATTAATAATCATCTGTAAAATTTATGAACTGTTTAAAAACAACCGTATTTCTCTGAATGAGTGATTATTAACTGGACTTTAAAGAAACCCATATGTCTTTGAATGAGTGATTGTTATCTGGACTTAAATAAAAACCCATGTAGCTGCATATGAGTGATTATTATTTCGATGCTTGATAACATATTAATTAACTTTAGAATTACTTTATTGTTTTGAATTTCAAATTGTTCGACTTAATTGAAGGGGATTTATCTATAGCTAGATTAATGGCTGACTTCAAAGTTACTGCAAATCATTAGTTAATATACAAGAAATTGCATCCAACTCATCTAGCAAGCCGGCCTTGCTCCAAAATCAATTTTATCAGATAAGTCATCTAATCCCAGCTTTTAAGGTACCAGAGACATGGGAAACAGGATGAATCTACATTCTTTTAGCAGCTAGCAAGTGTAACTTCAATATCAGATCTACTTTAACTGATTGCTACTTAACATATATTAAGCTGGCCTTGTTATATTTTCAAGATCTTCAACATTTTGCCACTCAAGAATATGAATTAACTATATCAACTATCTTGACTAATCTCATTGGCAACTCATTAGGGAAGGCTGATCTTAAATGCTTTTGTACTAAATATGGCGTGCAAGAACTCTCGGTCATCATATTTGAATTTAGCTGTTAAAATTCAATCTTCAACCTCCTTGCATTATAAAAGCACCGGTGACGGAACTAGACCACAAATTTTGAGGGTGGCTACAAAATTAAACCATAATTTTTAAATAAAACATTAATATCATAATATATATAAAATATCTAAGTTGTAATAAAAACAAAAGTCTTAACATAAAATGATTGAATAGTATTACATAAAAATATGTTACAATAATGCTCTACAGTTATTGAGTGGTTTGAAATCATTAATGATAGTCTCTGAGTCAATACTTACAATAATTTCTCTTTCAATGTTAACTGTCATGCTATCTCCTAGAAACTCAACTTCTGTTTTGTTTCTCAATCTTGTCTTGATAATTTTTAGTGTCGAAAATGATTTTTCTGTAGTTGTTGTAGATACAGGGAGAGTCATGATAAGGTAGAGCAGTCTATCAATCAAATAATAAATTTCCTTCTTTTTAGTTGCAACCAAAGATGAACATAATTCTTGAATAGTTGACAAATTATTCAAACTCGATGTTTGACGAGCGTCAATAATAAAATGTCGAAGTTGAAATTTTAAATTTGTCTTCTCTTTGCTCATTGAGGTCCATAGGATAATATTTTTCAACTAGAGTCCAAATGGTATCAAAGTTAAAAGCCTTGTAATTATCCTTGGGAGACAAAACACAATTTAGAGTTAACAAATCAATGGCTTGCTCACTAAATGTGTTATTCCACTCTTGTAATTATTTTAACTCTAAAATAATGGTCAATGGTTATAAAAAATATAAGGAAAAAATTAGTAATTACAAACACGTCAAAACCCATCAATAAAATCATGCAATGTTACAAAAGATGTTGTTGTACTCCAAAATTTACCCTCCCTTTTTCACAAAAAAAAAATCACAACTTCAGGGTTTTCCCTGATCTTTCAAGATTGGCCCAAGAATCGGTCAAACAGACTTTTCTTTGACAGTAAATTCAGGATTATGGTTTGCGCACGCATTTCTCAGAAAAATTGAATCCACAGTAGTTCAATTGACTATTATTGTTTTTACGCTTGTTCAAGATTGTTGTTTGTTTCTCGAAACCTAAACATCTGGAATAAGAGCTGAGGCTTTTGATTGAAACTTTGAAGCATTGGTTTGATCAGTGAAGTGAAAGGTGTATGGATGTTTATTTGTTTAACTGAACAAAGCACATGGTTAATTGGAATGACGGGCGTATTGTGGTTAATGCAAGGTTGCGAGACTGCAAAAGTTTGTTGATTATTTATTTTTATCTGAGTTAAAATTATTGGGATGCATTTCCAGTTGTTTTAATTTAAGAGATTTAAATAATTAAATAGACAGTGCAAAGGAAAGAAGGAAATATTTGACAGTAAAGAATTCTTATTTGACAAAGATTTTTATTTATTTATTTCAAATATTGTTACAAATGTTATTCGAATATTGTAAATTTATTTACAGTGTTTACAATAATATTTATTACAATAAACGAAAAGAAAATAAATCTAAAGCCTAAGTTTCTTGAAATCTTCTATCTTCTATTGTTTCTTCCATTATTCAACTGATAATTACCTGCAAAGGACAGAAGAAAAAGAAATCAGTGCAGATAAATTGAAAAGCAGTTTTAAGCAGATAAATAAAAAAGATCATCATTAAAGCTTGTTGGCCGGAATCAGATTGTTTTTGGTTTCATCATATTTTACTCGTCCTCTTTGCAAATCACAAGAAGATTTCTCTTCTTGGTTCACAAAGAGGAAAGTAAAATAATTTGCAAAGTATACAATCAATTAAATGCAAAGATACAAGGTACAAGGCTGCACACAAAGAGGGCACAAGGTTGCACAATGTCAAACTGAACAACAAATTGCATTAGTCAACCAAAAGCAAACTAAGTTACAAAACTGTCAAACAAGCACACAAGCTGTCAAAAAAAACTGTCAATGCATAAATATGGAAAATGCATAAATAAACCAAGATACAAGCAAGCAGGCTTGTCAAAACTTTTCATCATATTCTGGCCAAAACAAGCTTTTCAGATTAAAAAAACATATTAAGCAATTTAAAATGCTTTTTACGGAGAGAGAAAGAGAGAATGAGAAGAAGGTTTTGCAGTTTGGCAGGCTGTACAAAAGCAGTGAAAAAGAAAATAAATATAACAACATAGCAGTCCAGGGGAGCCCACAGAAGCTCAACCAGAAAACCTGCTGTCAAAGCAGAAAAATGCAGAGAG